AGAGAAGTCTGGGTAGATAAATAGATTTCGGAATCTGAGTTGAAGACGTGAAAGGAGATAAAGTATTTGAGAGAGCGAAAATGAGGGGATCACGACCAGAAGCCTGTGTAACTAAACAAGAGATGAGCTATTAAAGGAGATGCCAAAGGAGCAGTCAGTGACGTCGGAGGAGAGCCATGAGGCTATAAAACCAGGGAAGGAAAAAAAAAGAGAGAGAGAGAGAGAGAGATTAGGAAAACGAGAGCTGCCTTCTGTTTTTGACATCGCTAATCGAGAAGGATAAGGACAGAGAAGTACACCTTGGGTTTAGCTAGAAGGAGGTCAGTAATGCCGTTGAAGAGGTTTGTTATGGTAAGGGGGTGTAGAATAACGTGAGTGACCAAAGGAGGAGAGGAAGGGAAGGCAGCCAGAGTAAACAGCAACCTACAGCATTATGGGAAAAGGAAGATGGAAGGGAGGTAGTTGGTGAATCTGAGTCCTTACCTCGAACTTAAGGGCTACTTTTCATGTGTATTATTTTTAAAAGGGAACTCGTTTCCATCCCTCGCCTTGGCTAGAATGCTCGCTCTCTTCCAAGGGAAGACGCAAACCCAGACACAGCGGCAAACAACGAGCCCGATCAAGGCAGATCAGAGAAATCTCGCGTTACGCTTCAGCACCAAGGACAGGACGCGAGAAACGGTCCCGCCCTCTTAACTCCTTCCTAGCTCACACTTCGATTGCTGACAAGGCAAAGGCAAGACCAACCGCTTCTTAACTGTTTTTGTCAACCTGGGGCTCTTGTCTTTTTTAAACACATTTATGTTTACTACAAAGCACCAAGTTCCCAAGACACAGTGTTTTGTTGCTTTTTGTTTTGTTTGTATCCCTCTCCTGCTGGTAATAGCTCACCTTACCTGATCAATCTTGTTACAGTCTGTTTGGTAACACCCATTGTTTCATGTTCTCTGTGTATAGAAAATCTCCCGACTGTATTTTCCACTACATGCATCCGATGAAGTGAGCTGTAGCTCACGAAAGCTTATGCTCAAATAAATTTGTTAGCGTCTAAGGTGCCACAAGAACTCCTTTTCTTTTTTCAAGAAAACTTAAGTTATACTAAGAATTCTGTTTAAAAAACCTCAGAAAAAATTATCTACCTTTGTGATCTCTCTAATGTAGACACAGATACTCAGGGGAAGTAGGAAATTTCCATTTCAGAAGTTGGAGGATCATCACAATAGTAAAAGCTAACCCTATTGGGCCTAAAATACAAATCCTTATTCACCTTTTAATCATTCCTTACCCTAGCAAACTCTCATTGACTTCAGCACCAACTTCACTCCCATGGGAGTTCGCATAATAAATGACTGAGTGAAAACTGAATAAGGACCTCAAGTTTTGGCCCAATGTGTTTCATAATACACACATACATACTGTATATGGGTGCATATTACACATAATACTCCTGGGGGGATTCTGCGCTACTGTGCATGCACAGAATTTATTTGCCTGGCAGATTTCTTTCCTTCTCTGCAGAAAAATGACTTTCTGACAGGGAAGCAAAGGGAAGCCACAAAAGCAGTCATGCGACCCTCCCCAGCAGTATGTGTTGGGTGCCCAGGGCAGCCGACAGAGAGGAAAATCATTGAGGGGCAAAAGGTGGGACTGGGGAAGACCCAGCTAGTGGCTCCTACCCTGCACCAGGCTCAGCTGGGCTGGGCAAGAGAGGACTTCTTCTTCCCCTGCATGGCATGCAGGGCCATGTCAGAGCCACCCCCAGATTTCTCCCCAGGCTGCAGGAAGCTCTGTAAACTCCCCCTGCCTCCCCGCACTTCCTGCACCTATCATTTCTCAGCTGCAGGGGGGGATCCTTGTACAGGGAGCTGCTCCCCCATCTGCCCAACCCCTGTGCATTCAGACCCTCTCATACTCAGACCCTCCTCCTGAGCATCATCCCCCTGTACTCAACTCCCCCCCCCATGAGCTCCACTCCCCTTGCACGTGGACCACTCCAAAGAGCTATCCCCACCCCACCAAGCCCCAACCAGCTGCACCTGGATCCCCACCCTACTGAGCCCAACTTCCCCAGCATCTGGACCCCCCACAGAGCCCCCAAGACCCAGATGCCCTTGCTGAGCTTTATCATCCCCACACCCAGACTCCCACCACTGAGCCCCAACCACCTTCACATGGACCCCCCTGCAGAGTTCCATTAACATTGCACTCAGAACCCTCCCCCCCCCCGACAAGCCCCTGTGCATACAGATCCTCCCTGCACCCAAATCCCCCAATGAGCTGCCCACACACAGATTGCCCCACACAGAACCCTCTCAACCCACACCTGGATTCCCCCCATATTAAGCCCCTTCACACTTGGATCCTGCATTGCTGAGCCTGCCTGCCCACACAGAGGGCAGGCACCTGGGGTGTTTCTGGGGCAGGCCGGGTCCTTGCGCTGTGTCATGGTTGGGTGCAGCCAGGCCCTCTCAGAGGTCCAGAGAGGCCTGGGCCACTTCCAGCTTTTTGCGGCCCCTAGCCATAATAAAAATTAAAAAATGACAACACATGGTCTAATCTTGTGCCATCAGAACCAATATATTTTTATTAATATTTATGAACATTTTTAACTCTTTAATATGACAAAATCTATATCAGTTAACAAACACTTAATGTCTTTTACCAAATCACATCTCTTATTTGCTTAAATTTGCAACTCTAAGCTGAGAAAGTGTGTCACAATTTGGTCCAATAGGGATGCGCATACAAACAAATTGTGAAACTTATCAAATGCCACAAAATTAACAAGTGTCTAAATTTCAGGCCCCCTTTGAGCTTGAGGCCCAGGTCAAATGGCCCTCCTGCCTCCACCTCCCTCCTTCCCCCGGATTGGCCCTGGGTATAGCCTCACCGCTGAGTCCATGGCTGGGGAGAGGGGAGCAGCACAGTGATCTCCCACCTCTGTGTAGCCAGTGGCCTGTGCAACCCAATGCCATGCTGGAGTCTCCACATTTATTTGACAAATAAAATTTGCAGAACTTTGCAGAATTTTAATTTTTTTGGTGCAGAATGACCATAGGAATAATGTAACCAGTTTTGAAGTTTTGTAGAGAAGAATTCAGTCCCCAAGGTGTCTGTACCATATGGATGGTGACTTCCTCTTATTTCAGAATTCCTCAATCAGGTTGGGAAGTTCTACCTTGTAAGGTTAAAGTTACTGGGCCATATGAATGGGAAATTCCCCTTTAAAATGAACGATATAACACATTCCATTAAAATTACAGCATTTTTTTCCTGTTTAATCCCCCTGAGAACAACAAAATAAACGTCTATACAGTTAACACATGAGGTAACAGGATCAGTTAAATACATTTTCCTTATAGGGCAGTGGTTCTCAAAACTTTTGTACTGGTGACCGCGTTCTCATAGCAAGGCTCTGAGTATGACCCCCCCCCCTTATAAATTATAAACACTTTTAAATATATTTAACACCATTATAAATGCTGGAGGCAAAGTGAGGTTTGGGGTGGAGGCTGACAGCTCACGATCCCCCATGTAATAACCTCCCAACCCCCAGTTTGAGAACCCCTGTTTTAGGGTTCACTGACGAGTTTGAGACGTAAAGCTGCCTTACTGCTTAACTAGAAGGCAGAAGCTCTTCCTAATCTTTTCAATTACCAGGGAGGAGGTCTTGGATTTAAAAGGGTTAAAGAGACTGAAACACACTGTAAATCGCATGCGGAGTCTCAAAGCCCAAAACGTGTTTAGCGGGATTTGGGGAGAAAGGGGGTGGGAGGTGAATGAGAAATAGCTGGATTATATCCCTGTATTTCTATTTATTCACAGGGTTATTCTATTTCGGAGGAAAATGCGCTCTTCTGTTGTTGCATATGACAAATTCCAGCAGAGGGCGGATGCAGCTGGACATCTGTAGTCTGACGCTGTCAGAAGAGAGAATCTGACGTTATGTTCTGCAAGTCACACAACGAAACAAGAAACCGTTTCAAAAATACGAACGACCTTGTGTGATTTCAGCCGGAGTTTTGCACACATGAGAAAAAGGCAGAAGCTCGCAGAGTGCTGAATATACCCAGAACCGAAGACTGTTTGTACTGGACTCAGAAGAGGCAGACGGTTCTGTCTTACACGCACTGAATGGCAGCTTTGCCATTAACTTGAGCGGCAGCAGGAGCCCACTCTCAGTCCTAAACTGTTCTGTTTTAAACCACAACACTGTGAAATCTCTGAGGTTTCTAAATCAGGCTGAATACGACTGAGTTTTAGGCAACGACGTGGAGTCTGGAGGCAGAGGATAAATGGGAGCTAAGAGGTCATCACCCTTAGATCCTGGGTGGAGACGAAATATGAGCAGAGAGCTCCAAACTGATCTGGATTTAGGAGGAAAAGCGGGCCACGTGGCTCATGCATATTAATCATTTTATCCCTGGAGGCCAGTGGGGAGGGGATTGGAGCGCTGCAGTGGGTTTAGCACTGGCTTCGGTCTCTTTCACTGAAACCTTAACCCACAGGTATAAAGCCAGTTTAGTGTTTTGCAATTTGTGCCCTCTCTCGCCTACATTTGGAAGGCAATGCAAAAAGAGACAGTTTCCAACCAAACAGCTTAACACCTAGGAACCAAAAGGTATCCTAGGACTCGGAGAAATGTGAATCAGGTCTCATTCTCAGAGGGTGATAGAGAGACTACCACCTCCAGTCGAGTCAGAGTCGGAATCCTGAAGAGGGAGTTTTTCTAACACAGAAAATGCCATATTTTAATCTAATCTAATATTAGCTATGCTGATCCCAAGGGCTTAGCCACCACAATCAATGGCACATAATTTTGCTTTATATTTTAATATATTTTGGATATATAAGCAATGTTAAGGATACAGACACCCATTCATTCAAGAAATGGCTACTCTTCTGAGGCCTGGTGTACACTACGAGTTTAGGTTGAATTTAGCAGCATTATCTCAATGTAACCCTACACGCGTCCACACGATGAAGCCCCTTTTTTTGACTTAAAGGGCTCTTAAAATCGATTTCTTTATTCCACCCCCAACAAGGGGATTAGTGCTGAAATCAGCCTTGCCGGGTCAAATTTGGAGTACTGTGGACACAATTCAATGGTATTGGCCTCCGGGAGCTACCCCAGAGTGCTCAGTTGTGACCGCTCTGGACAGCACTCTCAACTCAGATGCACCGGCCAGGTATACAGGAAAAAGCCTGCAAACTTTTGAATTTCATTTCCTGTTTGGCCAGCGAGGCGAGCTCACCTGCACAGGTCACCATGCAGAGCTCATCATCACAGGAGACCATGCAGTCCCAGAATCACCAAAGAGCTCCAGCATGGACCCAACGGGAGGTATGGGATCTGATCGCTATATGGGGAGACAAATCCATGCTGGCTGAACTCCATTTGAAAAGACAAAATGCAAAAATATTTGAAAAAATTTCCAATGTCATGAAGGACAGAGGCTATAACAGGGACCTGCAGCAGTGCCACATGAAAATTAAGGTGCTCAGGCAAGCCTACCAAAAAAACAGAGAGGCAAATGGCTGCTCCGGTTCAGAGCCCCAAACATGCCACTTCTATGATGAGCTGCATGCCATTCTAGGGAGTGCAGCCACCACTACCCCAACCCTGTGCTTTGACTCCGTCCAAGGAGTGGTAGACAACATGGAAGCGGGTTTTGGGGGTGAGGAAGATGAGGAGGAAGAGGAGGTTGTAGATAGCTCACAGCAAGGAAGCGGAGAAACCAGTTTTCCCAACATCCAGGATCTGTTTCTCACTCTGGACCTGGAGCCAATACCCCCTGAACCCACCCAAGGTGGGCTCCCGGACCCTGAAGGCAGAGAAGGTGGAGAAGGGACCTCTGGTGAGTGCACCTTTGTAAATATTATACATTGTTTAAAGCAAGCGTGTTTAATGATTAATTTGCCCTGGCATTCACAGCCAGTACAGCTACTGGAAAAGTCTGTTAAAGTGTCTGGGGATGGAGCAGAAATCCTCCAGGGATATCTCCATAAAGCTCTCCTGGATGTATTCCCAAAGCCTTTGCAAAAGGTTTCTGGGGAGGGCAGCCTTATTCCATCCTCCATGGTAGGATGCTTTACCATGCCAGGCCAGTAGCATGCAGTCGGGAATCATTGAGGAACAAAGCATTGCAGCATATGGTCCTGGTGTTTGCTGGCATTCAAACAACATCCGTTCTTTATCTCTCTGTGATACCCTCAGGAAACTGATATCATTAATGGTCACCTGGTTGAAATAGGGTGGTTTTGGTAAGTGGACATTCAGAGGTGCCTGTTCCTGCTGGACTGTTTGCCTGTGGTGGCACAGAAATCTTCCCCGCTGTTAGCCACGCGGTGGGGGGAGGGGTGAAGCCATCATCCCAGAGAATTGTGTGTGTGTGTGTGGGGGGGGGGGGGTTAGTTGGGTTGCTGCTGCACGTGAACCTGGAAACTGCAGCCCCTCCTTTCAAATTGCCAACCCATTTTTAATGGGCAACCCAACAGCTACTTCATATAAGAAATGAGGGTGCTGCTGTTTGTAGCCATTCCCACATGTTATGAAGGTTAAAGAAGCCAAAAGACTGTGGCTTACCATGGCTGCCTACAAGCCAAATTCTGCTGCCTGGCCCTGCGTGAGTGATCTCTCACACCAAATCGGCATTCCCTCAATAAGAGGCAAAATGCAACCTTGTAATGAAAGCACATGTGCTATGTAATGTTAACAGCAGGTTTACCTTGAAAGAGTGTACCCATTGTTCTATAAAATGTTTCTTTTTAACTACCACTCTCCCTTTTTTCCTCTCCACCAGCTGGATATGTTTCTCCTTCCCAGAGGCTAGCGAAGATTAGAAGGCGAAAAAAGTGTACTTGTGATGAAATGTTCTCTGACCTCATGCTGTCCTGTCCACATTGACAGAGCACAGCAAAATACATGGAGGCAGACAATCTCAGAGTGCAGGAAAACACAATATGACTGCGAGGAGAGGTGGTGGGCTGAAGATGGTAGGTGGTGTCAGCTTGCTGAAAGAAGGCAGGAGTCAATGCTCAGGCTGCTGGAGGATCAAACTCATATGCTCCAGTGTATGTCTGAGCTTCAGGAAAGGCAGCAGGAGAACAGACCGCCACTACAGCCCATGTGTAACCAACCACCCTCCTTCCCAGGTTCCATAGCCTCCTCACCCAGGCACCCAAGAACGCGGTGGAGGGGCCACCGGCCAACCAGCCACTCCACCCCAGAGGATTGCCCAAGCAACAGAAGGCTAGCATTCAATAAGTTTTAAAGTTTTAAAGTGCTGTGTGGCCTTGTCCTTCCCTCTTCCACCACCCCTCCCGGGCTACCTTGGCAGTTATCCCCCTATTTGTGTGATGAATAAATAAAGAATGCATGAATATGAAGCAATAATGACTTTATTGCCTTTGCAAGCGGTGATTGAAGTGGGGAGGGGAGGGTGCTTAGCTTACAGGAAAGTAGAGTGAATTGGGAGGAGGGGGGCTCCATCAAGGAGAAACAAACAGAACTTTCACACTGTAGCCTCGCCATTCCTGAAACTGGTTTTCAAAGCTTCTCTGATGCGCACTGTGCCCTCCTGTACTCTTCTAACTGCCCTGGTGTCTGGCTGCACGTAATCAGTGGCTAGGTGATTTGCCTCAACCTCCCATCCTGCCATAAACATCTCCCCCTTACTCTCACAGATATTGTGGTGCACACAGCAAGCAATAATAACAATGGGAATATTGGTTTCGCTGAGGTCTAACCGAGTCAGTAAACTGCGCCAATGCGCTTTTAAATGCCCAAATGCACATTCTACCACCATTCTGCACTTGCTCAGCCTGTAGTTGAACAGCTCCTGACTACTATCCAGGCTGTCTGTGTATGGCGTCATGAGCCATGGCATTAAGGGGTAGGCTGGGTCCCCAAGGATAACTATAGGCATTTCAACATCCTCAACAATAATTTTCTGGTCTGGAAAGTAAGTCCCTTGCTGCAACCATTCCCACAGATCAGAGTTCCTAAAGATGCGAGCGTCATGTACCTTTCCCGGCCATCCCACGTTGATGTTGGTGAAATGTCCCTTGTGATCCACCAGTGCTTGCAGCATGATTGAAAATTACCCCCTGCGGTTTATGTACTCGCCGGCTTGGTGCTCCGGTGCAAAGATAGGGATATGGGTTCTGTCTATGGCCCCACCACAGTTAGGGAATCCCATTGCAGCAAAGCCATCCACTATGACCTGCACATTTCCCAGAGTCACTACCCTTGATAGCAGCAGCTCAGTGATTGCACTGGCTACCTGCAGCACAGCAGCCCCCACAGTAGATTTGCCCACTCCAAATTGATTCCCGACTGACTGGTAGCTGTCTGGCACTGCAAGCTTCCACAGGGCTATTGCCACTCGCTTGTGAACTGTGAGGGCTGCTCTCATCTTGGTATTCCTGCGCTTCAGGGCAGGGGAAAGCAAATTACAAAGTTCCATGAAAGTGCCCTTACGCATGAGAAAGTTTCGCAGCCACTGGGAATCATCCCAGAACTGCAACACTATGAGGTCCCACCAGTCTGTGCTTGTTTCCCGAGCCCAGAATCGGCGTTCCACCGCATGAACCTGCCCCATTAGCACCATGATGCCCACATTGCCAGGGCCCATGCTTTGAGAGAAGTCTGTGTCCATGTCCTCATCACTCACGTCACTGCGCTGACGTCGCCTACTCGCCCGGTATCGCTCTGCCAGGTTCTGGTGCTGCATATACTGCTGGATAATGCGCATGGTATTTAATGTGCTCCTAATTGCCAAAGTGATCTGAGCGGGCTCCATGCTTGCTGTGGTATGGCGTCTGCATAGAAAAAAGGCGCGGAACGATTGTCTGCCCTGATGGAGGGAGGGGCGACTGATGACATGGCTTGCGGGGTTGGCTTACAGGGAATTAAAATCAACAAAGGAGGTGGCTTTGCGAGAAACTGAATGGCCCCCTCAAGGATAGAACTCAAAACCTCAAGGAGAGAATTCAAAACTGGGTTTAGCAGGCCATTGATTTCACAGAGGGAAGGAGGGAGGAGAAAATGAATACAAAACAAATCTGGTCTATTTCTTATTTTGAGCCAGTTCATCTATCTTTATACATCTTGCTGGCAGCAGACTGTGCAGTATGACCGCTAGCCATCGTCAACACCTGGGTGCTCAGCAGAAGACGGTGCAGTATGACTACTGGTCATCATCTTCTGCTAGCTGCAGATTAAAAGACAGTGCAGGACTGAATTGCCACGAGACGAAACAAGGGAAATGACCTGGCTGAGTCACTCCCATGTTTGCTCAGGCGCCCGGTTAAAAGAGCACCCTGGACTACGTCGACGACGGCTACCAGTCATACTGCACTGTCTGCTGCCAAAAGGCAATAAACTGCTGCTGTGTAGCAACGCAGTACCGCATCTGCCAGCACCCAGGAGACATACGGTGACAGTTAGCTGAGCGGGCTCCATGCTTGCTGTGGTATGGCGTCTGCACAGGTAACTCAGGAAAAAAGGCGCAAAACAATTGTCTGCCGTTGGGTGTTCTAAGTGACCAGTGTGCTGGCTTCCAAAGGGCTCAATTTATAGATACTAACAGCATCCTGTCACCCAAAGAAAGAGCTTATGGGATAAAGTGTCATCCAGAACTAGCTGAGTGCCCCTCATTTTGATCCAAAAACTGACATGATATTGTAAGCAAGAGGGCAAAGTCCTGCTAAAAGGGTTGGAAAGACTGGAACCTCCTAGGATGTCCATGTGAAAGATGGCTGACGCCTTGTAAGCTAGTAAATTTTTATTGTTTTATGTTTTCTCCGTAATGCTTTTGTTCTAAAATAAATGTACTGTGCTTTGGAGAAGCTGGTTGGTCACTCTGTCACTGTCCCTGAGAGAGGGCCAACTGCAGGTGTTGGACTTAGGTCAGACCTTCTGGGATAAGTACAGTGAATTGCAGGGGACTGTAGGCCAAAATCCCTGGTCTGGACAGAGATCCCTGCCTATGGAAGGGTGATGGCTAGAGGCCTGAGATGTAAAGGGGCACCCTTGAGGAGGGGGCAAAAGTTCAGTTAACCCTGGAACTGTGACACTTGGGCTATGGCTACACTTGCAGATGTAGCGCGCTGGGAGTTAAACCAGTCCTCGGAGACTGCAGCAGTGAAAGTGCTGCCGTGTGTTTACACTGTCAGCTGCAAGCGCAGTGGCATGGCCACATTAGCAGTTTTTGCAATGCCACAGAGAGCAGTGCATTGTGGTAGCTACCCCAGTGTGCTGCAGAGTGCTTTTCAAATGAGGGGGGTTGGAGTGTGACAGGGAATATGTTGTGTGTGTGGGGGGGGAGATACAGTGTGTTTTGGGGGTCAGAGAGTGTGTCAGCATGCTGTCTTGTAAGTTCAGACAGCGGCAGGGGGAAACCCCGACATCAGCCCTCCCCCCCCATGCCTCTCTCTTTCTTTCTCTCTCTCTCACACACACAACCCTGTCTCTGCAGCAGCAGCATTCCACAGTAACGGTCTGATTTGTGTCCCGGAGCAGATAAGCATGCCGGCTGTCAGAAATGGAGCTTTGAAAGGGGATATCTGCATGCCTGCAGCCGAGTTCAAAACAATGACAAGAGTGGCCACTTGACTTCAAGGGATTACGGGACGTTTCCAGAGGCCAGTCACAGTGTAGTAATGCAATATGTCATCCACACTGACACCTGGGCATTTCAGCCAGGGTGCAGCACGCTCTATGCTTCTCGTGGAGGTGGATTACCAGGAGTGCTCCAGCTGCAGAGTCCGAGCGCTCTAAGTGCCTTGCCGGTGTGGACACCTCAGGAGTTAGGGAACCCGGGGCTGATTTAATGAGCTCTAACTTGCAAGTGTAGCCAAGCCCTTGGTGTGACAGACTGACAAACCTTATGGAATTAAGATATTCATTGTTGAATTAAGTTTAATATCTTTGTGGTCCTTAGTATTAAATGCAATTATGTATGGGGTGCATGTAACTTCTCTAAGAGACCAACTGATGCAATCTCTGGAAAGTACTGGGAACTTCAAACTGCTTTTTTGGGATAATACGTGTGATGTTGGTTTCCTTGGGAGGAAGGAAATGAAAGTTCTCCCCTCCAAAGCCAGCCTTTTGAAGCTATGCCCTGGGCAGAGAGACATATTGTCTGCTGCTCACCTGTTCCTGGAAACTTCAGTTCAAAGGCCCTCAAACTGTATAAAGGATGGACTAAACTTTTCGTGAGGGTGCTGGTTCTGGGCTGAGGCTGCTGTGAACTTGTGACCAGAGAGACCCCTTTGTGGAGTTTTGAAGGACTGCTGCTGCCAGAGCCCATGTAAAAGCTGGGGTGATCTCTGGTAAGTTTATTAGCATGGGTGTATGCTCTTATATTGTTTTAATGTTTTCTCTGTAGTGCTTTTACTTTAAGAATAAAATAGGCTTGTACAGCATGTGCTGTGTAGTTAACAATGGGCAGTCAGTTATCAGTCTCTGAAGAGAAAGCAGGCAGGCCTGGCTACGCAGATTGTCTTTTGCGGGAAATAACACACTGAAGGCAGGGAACTGGTCAGGAAGGGAACAATGCAAGTTTCCACCCAAGAAATGCAAAAGCTAGGGAGCTGGAAGAAAGCCTGAGAGTGGGGACCCTTGCTGAACCACTAAGGGAAAATACAAGTGCAGTCACCCTAAACTGTGAGACATGGATGCAACAGAATGAGAATTTTCTGTAATATTTTTATGAAGACTGTTTGTGCCTCAGTTTCCCCTATATGCTGCATTGCTACCCAGTGGGGGAGGGAAAGAACTGTTTGCTCTCTAGGCAGGCTGAGACACATAGATATGGGTGTTGCCTAGCTGTCTGGGCCTTAGTCCCCTTATCAATGGCGTATCTGAGAAGACAGTGGCAAATTGAATTGCCAGGACATTGACACTTAGCAACCAATAACCTTTCCTCCCTCTCCTTAGGGAAGCTGAACAGCAATCCTCCAGCTCAAGAACAAAGGCCTGGAAGAGGTGAGGAAGGGGATAAAAGTTGGCTGCTGGAAGGAATTGAGGCTCTCTCACCCGGAGTTTGGCCAAGGAGGTCAGACAGAGGGAGACAGACATCTTAAACCAAGGGGTTCACTACAGCTTGGTTGAACTCAGGGCTAACCAGAATGGATGATGCTTTAACCTTCATTTCTCCAGACGACCTTAAGGACTTCCTGTGCTGTGTTCCAGTTAACATATAAACCCTACTGTTTTGGCAATGCTGCGTGAGGATCACTGCAAATGCTGGGTGAGGTGCATTAATCCCTGAAGAGTGTACAAGTCTCCATCAGGGGTCTGTCTCAGCTGGACTCACTGAACAG